ATTCCTGCTCCACTCTGGAGGAATTCCACCCCGGCCACCCAGCCTCTGGATCCAGCCCGATGGCACCTCCTGCACCAAGCCTTCCATGACCTCCCGTTCAGGGAGGCCCCTGGTGACCTGCCCACGAAACTGTCACACCTGTTTCTCGTCACCCCTTGGGCTCGCGGTGGACAGTGGGCGCTGGGTGTCCATGGCCCTGTGTCGAGCCGTGCTTGGCACCCAGTGAGCACTGGGTCACTGGTGCTGGACACATGGAGGACTGCGGCAGGAGCGTCAGCCACCCGGTGTGTGCCTGGCACAGCTCTGAAGGCCATTTTAAACATGGCCCCTGCTCTCATCCTCCCACCGCCTCGTACTACCGCCCACAGATGGGGAGACGGGCACGCGGGGGTTAGGCAGTTGGCCCAGGCTCACAGGCCTGTAAGTGCTGAGCCGGGATTCAAACCCGCCTTTCTGGACTCCAGGTGGAAGGGAGGGAGGGAAGGGGGGGAGAAGGTGGAGGAGGGAAGGAGTGCGAGGAGGAGGCCGTCGGTCCTGGAAGTCGAGGAGGAGAATAGTGTTCAGGCCAACGGGTGGCCTTGTGGATGAGGTGGCTGGATCCCTCATGGTTGACTGAAACAGTTCAAGGCCTGGACCCCGCAATTAGAAAAACACATGGGGCGTGTGTGTGTGTGTGTGTGTGTGTGTGTCCACAATGCTTAGAGGGGAACGAACGTGCAATCTGTTTCACCGTTCTCGTCCAGGGTCCCAGTTTCAGGTCTCTGCTGCCATCTTTCCGGATAGCTGGCCGTGTGTGTCCCCGAGTGGCCAGCCCCAGGACCCCACAAGGGCCACCTCTGCCCCGCCCGACCGGGTTGTCAGGCGTGAGGCTGCGAGGCCCGCATGGCAGCACAAGACCTCCATCCCAGTCAGCCCCGCAGCCCGCCCTGGCCCCTGCACTGCCCCGAGCCCCCACCCCAGCTGTCAGTAGGAGGCCCCCGGCAGCAGATCAGAGCCGAGCACCACGAAGCCACACGCCCCTTGTCGGCGGCAGCCGGGGCAGCAGCAGAGGGGCCTTCGTCACAGGGTGGTCCCTGGACAGCACCACTGTCTCCTGGGGCAGCATCCCCTCTGCAAGGCGAGGGGCAGCCACCGAGGGCCCCGGCCCTCCTGGTGATGACCGTATGCAGGCTCTCCCGTCCCAGCACTGCGCTGGCTGTCTGCACACGCAAAGTCAGCCTTCGCCACGTGCGTCATCGCTTCCACTTTACTGCGATTCGTCACAGGGTGGTCCCTGGACAGCACCACTGTCTCCTGGGGCAGCATCCCCTCTGCAAGGCGAGGGGCAGCCACCGAGGGCCCCGGCCCTCCTGGTGATGACCGTATGCAGGCTCTCCCGTCCCAGCACTGCGCTGGCTGTCTGCACACGCAAAGTCAGCCTTCGCCACGTGCGTCATCGCTTCCACTTTACTGCGAAACACCCAGGCTTAGAGACCTTCAGGGGTCCGACAAGCTCGCATGGCAGTTGGGGTGGCGGGCCCCATCTGGGCCCCAGAGCCTCCTGCCGCTGCGGGAAGGATGGACAGGTGGGTTCCGCTGTGCCCCTCCCCGCAGCGGCGGGCCCACAGGAAGCACAAGCTGGTTTGACACTCATCGGTCTCAGCTTGCTTTCCCGGGGACCACCGGCGAGCTCTGGGTGGGCTTGCTGCTGTCCCTCCTGCAAGAGCGGCTAGGGAGGGTGGTGTCTCTGGCTTTGCTGAGATCTTTAAAGTCAAAGAAGGTGGCAGCCCAGTGCGAGAGGGCGTGGAGACTTGAAGGTGGGTTGCCACCTTCAGCCAGGGTCTCGGAAACCCAGGGGCCAGGCGGGCGGCCCGGCCTCCCCCGGGTGCCACTAGGTGGAAAGGAAGGGCCACGCGCCATGCAGCCCTTCAGCCCGTGTCCCCGCGAATGCGTCACCAGCTGCTCCTCCTCAGATTCTTACAAGCCTTTCCTCCGTTCCGTCTGCTCGGATGGCTCTGTTTTGAGTCCCTCGAGTCAGGGCGGACCTCTTTGGGCCATCAGCGTTCACCCGGGCCACCTCTCAAAGGTGACTGGCTCCCCGGCCCGCAGCTCTGCCAGGGTCCCAGCTTCCCACGCAGGCTGGGGACAGTCTACCCAATGCACTGACTCAGGGTGTGGGCGCCACCTCTGTAACCACATCCTCTCAGCGACATTCCCCTGGAAATCCAGCTTTGGCCTGGGGTGCCCCTCAGGGAGAAAGCCCTCTCCTCGGGTGGGGGTCTGCCTGTGTCCTGCTGCCGGCCTCTGTGGCTGTGGGTGGCTGAGAAGCACCGGAGTAAGCTCCCTGTCCCTGTCCTCTCACTTGGCACTGGTCTGTCTCTGGGGCCCATGCTCAGCCCTCTGGCCTCCTGTGGCTCTGCTCTAGTGAGAGGAGAGACCCCACCTTCCCCGCTGCGTCCGGTGGGGACATGCTGTCTGGGCCCAGGCTGTCTGGATCGCTGGCGCCTGGGAGTGGGTTCACTCCACCTGGACCCAGCCTGCCCCATGATTGCTCTGCCCTGCACGAGCTCCAGGCTGTCCGCTGCATGCGCCTCTGAACACGCCCATGGGGAGCACAGGGTCAGGACGGGGTCAGCCCAGAGGTGACTCCCATGGAGCAGGAGGAGGGTCACAGGCTGGTGGGCCTGGGGTCGCTGATGCCGGGTTCGCTGTCTTGCAGGAGCTGTGTCGCCAGCGCATGGCCCCGCGGCCACCCGACCGCCCCGAGGGCCCTCACACCTCCCGCATCAGCAGCGTCTCGTCCCAGCTCAGCGACGGGCCCGTGGCCAGCCCCTCGGCTCGGAGCACCTCGTCCTGGTCCTGGTCAGAGGAGCCTGTTCAGCCCAACATGGACATCTCCACCGGCCACGTGATCCTGGTAAGGCTCCTGCGGCTC